CCCTTGGTCAATTAGCCAATTTAGTTGCCTTGTATCTAGATGGAAACAACCTTTCTGGTCCTATACCCTCCTCCCTTGGTCAATTAGCCAATTTAGCTTATTTGAATCTAGGCGAAAACATGCTTGTTGGTCCGATCCCTTCATCTCTAGGTCAATTAACCAATTTGTCAGCTCTATTCCTTCATACCAATAAATTCAACAGCTGTATCCCTCTACAATTTGGAAATTTAAGAAATCTCAAGACTCTGTATATTGTGAATGGCCAACTCGTTGGTCCACTTCCTTCAACTCTGGGTCACCTGACAAATTTGACATCCTTGAGTCTTTACATAAATCAAATCAATGGTTCCATCCCTCTAGAACTAGCAAAACTTAGGAGCTTGACCTCATTGGATCTTGGTGCCAACCATTTAAGGGGTTCAATTCCTCCATCTTTGGGTCTCTTGTCTAATTTGAAATATTTGTACCTCGACTCAAATAGTTTTGAGGGTTCCATTCCACCGAAATTAGGAAACCTAAACAATTTGCGATTACTGTATCTTAGAAAAAACAAAATAACTGGTCCAATCCCTCCCACTCTATTTCATTCAACTAATTTGACAGTATTGTATCTTGATTCAAATCTTTTAGAAGGTTTGATACCTGGAGATATTAGGAATTCAATATCTTTGGCATATTTGAACCTTTCCCAAAATAGATTGAGTGGACCAATCCCAACTCAGGTTGGGTCTTGCTCCAACTTAATAGAGTTATCGCTGAGCCACAACTCTTTAAATGAAAGTATTCCTCCTCAGATTGGCAATCTCTCTATGCTCTCTGTAATTGATGTCAGCCATAATTCCATTAGTGGAGAAATGCCTTCCCAACTTGGAGGTTTAGCAAATTTGGTAGCATTAGATCTCAGTTACAATAATATCTCCGGCTCTATTCCCCATCTGCCACCTAGTTTGAATGAAGATAAACTAAATTTGTCATACAATTCTTTTACGGGTCAAGTCCCAAATGACTTGCGTCATTTTCCGCCAAGTTCTTTCACTGGCAACAAGGATTTAGAAAATGAACAACTTACTAGCTCAACATCGCTCACTGAACACAAAAGAACAAGCAGCAAAAAATCGAGACATGAGTCATTGTTGAGACATCTTAAAATCATTCTTATCAGCACCATTTCCCTTGCATTGGTATCTCTTTTATTTTTGTTGCTTTATCGAAGAATACATGGAGCCAAAAGTGAGGAAGCAGATGCAAGGCCAACAAAAAATGGGGATATATTCTCAATATGGAGCTTTGATGGAAGGGTTGCATTTGAAGACATCATTGAAGCTACTGAGGATTTTGACATCAAATACTGCATTGGTACTGGTGGTTATGGAAGTGTTTATAGAGCACTCTTACCAAATGGCAAGGTAGTCGCTTTGAAAAAACTTCATCGAAGGGAAGCAGAGGATCCAACTTTTGACAAGTGTTTCAAGAATGAGGTTAAGATGTTAATAGAAATTCGTCATAAGAACATTGTGAAGCTTCATGGATTTTGCCTACACAAGAGATGCATGTTTTTGATCTATGAATACATGGAAAGAGGGAGCTTGTTTTGTGTGCTTAGAAATGACGAAGAAGCTGTGGAGCTCGATTGGAACAAAAGGGTGAACGTCATAAAAAACACAGCACATGCTTTGTCTTATCTTCACCATGACTGCATCCCACCCATCCTTCATAGAGACATATCAAGCAACAACATTCTATTGAACTCAGAACTAGAGGCTTTTGTTTCTGACTTTGGAAATGCGAGGCTTTTAGATCCTGATTCATCTAATTATACTGTTCTTGCTGGCACCTATGGTTATATTGCCCCAGGTTTTCCCCATTGTCATTCTTCTTCTATTATCTTAATTCATTCTTTACTGTTGAATTGATATGTTAAACATTGTGTGTTTTGTCTATTCAGAGCTTGCTTATACGATGGCTGCAACTGAGAAGTGTGATGTTTATAGTTTTGGGGTTGTGGCATTAGAAGCATTAATGGGAAGGCATCCTGGAGAACTATTGGCATTGTCATCATCTCTCTCTTCCTTGCAAAATGTGATGCTAAGTGACATATTAGATACGCGTCTATCGCCTCCAAAAAGCAAAAATGTTACCCAGAATATTGCGGTTGCTGCTATGCTTGCATTTGCTTGCTTGCGCGCAAAACCCAAGTCCAGGCCAACAATGGAATTTGTGTCTCAACAATTTGTTGCCCACCAAAGACCACTTCCGAAGCCTTTTCCAGTTATTTCTTTATTGGAGTTGGTGAATAGTGATTTGGGAATGGAAAATGGAAGAGAATCTCAATTCAAACTTTCAGGTCATCCAGATAAGCTTCATGGTTCTCCCTCAAATTAGATGCAAGCGAGTATCTTCTGGGTCATCATTTTTTTTCTTTCTTTTTTTTTTTTTTTTTAAGTTCAGATTGTCCCTTTTCATGCAGCAATTTTCAATTAGAAATGTTTAATGTTCTGTTTAGAAACATGATTTTGGTAGAGTGTATTTGAATTTCAACATTTCAAATTCAATATCATTGTTTGTTTTTACATAAATAAAGTGAAATTAAATTTAAATAAAATACATGTATTTCAATCTATGTATTTGAAAGATATAAAAATCATGTATTTCAAATTCATACCTAATCCCATGAATTTCAATTTCATGGTGAATTTACTCTGCAGAGTTTTCTGAGCCCTTGTGCTCTGTTCGCCCAGCTACCGGTTGTCGCCATTACCCACACCATTACCCGCCGTAGTCGTCGCCAAGAAAGAACACCCGACTACATTCTTCAAAGGCAAACTCCGGCAAGGAAACTGGTGGTAGTCCGCAACTTCCGGTGCCATCCTCTTCCTCACCATCTTCCTTTCTGAAGGATTACTCCTGCTGCTACTATTCGACACGGTTGTTGTCGTCATCGTCAATGGACTAATTTCACGGCTGCCATTATTACCACTACTCCCATTATTCCCTTCACCTAACAAATTACAAGCCGCCATGAAAAACCCAGAAAACCCCCAAACCCAATTACAGAACCATTGTTACTTCTTCCCCTGTTCTTCATTTCATGGATAGATTGTAAAGAAAAAAGAAGAAGACAACCAAACAGATAACGTTAGCAACGTTGAGATACGATTCTTGTTGAAAATGAGCTCAAAGTCCCACGTTAAGAAAAATATAATAAATGGGAAGTACGCCGACGGATGTCGTTTGGACGTTTGTGAAAATGTTGCAGAGAACCTGAGGAAGGGAAATTAAAAGAAAATTGGAGGAGGGTGGTGGGGAGGAGGTGCATGGGAAGGATAGAGGTGGAAGTCGAGGTGGGGTGACCGATTGCTGGGCGTCATTATTGGGACATAATCAAATTTCAATTTCAAATTCTGAGTCCCGTGGGTGGTATTAGGGGATCTGAACTTCTGTGGGTGAACTTCTGTCATTTTTTCTTTCTTTAATGGAATCCCCTTATCAATGCTTATGTGGCACTGGTCAGCACTTACATAGCATAAGTAATTTTGAAAATTATACTTTAACCACAAAAACTTCACAATATTTTTAATTAAGTTTTATATTCAAGCAACTTCACAACAATTTGATCAACTAAGTCCTTAAATGGTCTAAATTATAATTAATCAAAACTATAATGATAAATAATTAAGATTGTAAGCTTAATTTGGTAATTAATTAAAATTATAATATTATTTTTATCAAATTAAAATTAAAAAAAATTCTTTTATGTGTAAAAATTTTAAAAACATATTCTCTCTATTTTAAAATAATAAATATTTTAAAATTATCTTTAAATTAAGAATTTAGAAATAATTTCTATTATTACATATTTTACCCTT